ATTGCATGCGTACACAGCGCGCTAGACGTGTTTATGTCACGCGTAAAAAATTCCGAATAATTTTGTAACACACTGTAACTAAATTAGCCAATTTGAATAATACACGTCTATTTTGTATGTTACATCTCACTTAAACATTCCAAATAATTAATTCTTAATGACATTAACAAAAGCAACAAAGTGCAGGCAACAATCGTTGGAGACGAGAGTGGCGTTGAAGTAGACGGAGATATTCCAAACGTTGTTATTATTAGCACATCGGGTTATTCAACGACAAAGCAATATTGAAGTAAATAAAATCGAAGAAACAAACAAAGATTGATTAATTTTCTAATTCTTATGATGATGCGTAAGTTTCAACAGTTTTCAATGCAGCAAACAAAAGTGTGTCTTTTTACTGCAACGACAACTTGTTTTGTTGTCAATACAACACGCATTGATTTGTCATATAACAATGTACTCACGCCAATACGTTTACAGCGATTATCTTAAATAACAATAATACAAGACTGATATCATAATGGCTTGATCACATCTTCTTACGAACAGTCACAAATATCTTAAATTCGCTGTTTGTCTAGCAATTATGGTTAAAATAAAATGGGTTGCGTTTACTTTAGCCAGCCACCCGTTGCGTATGTACTCAACACTAACTCGGGAAATTCATATTTTACTCGTAGACATTACCAACACGTGACTAAACGGTAATACGTAATCTCAACGTTACATTCTAATATCTGCCAATCAAATTTCAATTCCTCCCACAATTTAACAATCGTTACAAACAGAAAGGTGGGAAGGAATAATGTGATAAATATTCGCTTTTACTAGAATTCTGCCTGAACGCACTTCCAAGATGAGCGTTCAGTCCTGGTGATCTAGTTAGATGAAATGATGGACGATTGTTTGAGAATTGCTTGGAACTCTATCTCAGTTGGGTTCCAAGTGGTTGTGTTGTCCGACAGTTCGACTAGTGACTTGTTGATACTAAACACTTGTAATAATAAGAGGCTTTTTTGTGTGACTAAGAGATTAAAGACTTAGCAGTCCGACTTATAACGTTCTAGTGTACGTATCTCGATTATTCTTATCATTATAGGGTGGGGGTGATACGGCGCGCGATTCTTAGTTTTACAGGAATCTGTTTAAGGACAAACTCGAGGATTTTTCGTGTGGCGGCATCGGCTCACACATATCATTGCAGAAAATCGAGCCAAAGTACGTGTCTATTGAAGTGTTATAAGTTTATTCTAATTAATGATGAGCAATAAATAATGATAAATGAACTATAAAAATATGAAGAAACTATCTTACAGTAAAGATTTTAAGTTTTAAAATCCTTCTTTTTTTATAAGTGGAATTGTAATACATTGTGCCAAATCTCGAGACAATAGTTTCTATGGTATGTTATTAAGAATTGACTATTAACAACATTGTTCAATGCTTCTTGAAAGATATGAGAATTGGTATTCGATAATGCGATTAATTGGATGGAGAAGTGTGATGAGATGAAGACGAGATTGACCCATGAGAAGAGTGAGAATGTGAATGCGAATGAACAGATGCTAGTGACGGCTGTGGTGTGGGGGGTTCAACACCATAAGGAGTACCCTGACTTTGTTTACTACCTCTCCTTGCTGGTGAGTACCGTGATTTTGATAATATTCCTTCCAACTGGAATGACTCGTTATTACCCTCCGATATGATTGATTCTGAATCATCATACACACGCTCCATGTCTGCCTCCTCATCAGTAGAAGAATAAGAACTCGACTGCGTCAGAGTCATTTGCCTATTATTGTCCGATCGACGTGGCATTTGAGGGATACCAAAAACAGATGAATCGGTAAATGCATCAACGTATGTAGAGAACGACGTTACAGATGATGATTTAGACAGACTCTTCTCCCACGTCGCCTCTATTCTTTCTTCGTATTCGGGATCAGTGATATTCTCCTCAATGATGCTGGGTATTTGCAGTGATGTCATTGTCATTGACCTACCAGCGTCAATGCTATTGGCAGACAGACTACCATCATCTCCCCAGAAGTCCTTCAACGTTTGCAACTCATTGACTATCTCTCTGAACTGATAATCTGATGCAGGTATACAATCGTTAGACATTTCATCAGGATGGATCACCGGCATTTCAGATGAGAATCCACCGAAATAATGTGCATTATCTGGCGCAATTGCGCACGTGTAGCAGACGGAACGGACATTAGAGCGTGTTAATTCTTGGGTCTTTGCCAAGTCAGGCACTGACCATCCTGTTTCGGACGGTTCCCCGAAACGAGAAGCTTCATTCTTCGTGTCCCTATTGGATGACCTTCTGCCTGCGATACCACTCATCCGTAGAATATATTTGTCCTTTGGCCCTCCGGATATCGATATAGCTTCATCTAATACTTCAAGCGCTGACTGTGCATACTGAGTGGATAGCAGTCGAAGTAATGGCATTATAACTTCAGCTCCAATTTCAATAAAGTCCGGTTGTTGAGTATCAATATGAGGCAACAACATCTTGATTATTTTCATTGTTTTCAATTTATAGTAAGGTATCTTATTCCACAAAAGACTCATCAAAAATAAAAGAATTTTGACTTGGAATTGAGGGATATAATTATCTTTGATAACAACTACCGCTTGCTTAATAAAATCATCCTTCGTTCTAAACCTTCCCTTCGAATACGAAAACATCACTTTCGCGATGTTGTCTTTGTTCTCCTTGGTAGCAATAACAGAGATATTTTGAGCCCATTCTCTACATTCCTCCACTGTAGATGGCACGTCAAAAGCGTGAACTAATCTAGGGATATTAGCAAGGAGGAGGAATAACAGACGCGTAGGTGTCGGATCTACTAACTGCTCTTCTTCTAACAATAGTAGCTTTTTCATCATACGGAACGTTGGTGCAACCGAATGCGACGATTGAATGCCTTTGATGAGTAGAGGTTGAATGCCTTCAAATACGCCACTCCATTTGGGTCCGGGGAAGAAGGACCAAAGTAAACTCCGGTTTTCATTATCATTGAAATCAAACTTATCCATTAACTTGTTTAATATGGTTAAAGCTTCCAGGTATTCAGGCTCATTTGATGTCTGCAAACACGCTATCATGGTCCATGTGATTTGAGGGAACAAGGTCTTGGTATCGAGCGGTAACCAATCTACTATATAACTGAGCGTGATCAGTGTCTCCAGTGCAAATCCTTGAACTTCTTCATGAGTATCAGCAATTGTATTAGACAGTCGGTGAACTATATCAGCAAGCATAAGTTCATTGAAATCTGGTCTAAGTGCTCTGAATATCTGGAACGATCTACAAGCGACATGGCGCACTGTGCAGTTGGTTGCCCATTTCAATGCAATCTCCCCCCACTTTTGTTTGATTGTGGTACCAGTTCCGCGATCTCTGAATACATTAAGCACATCGTGACATAATGCCTCGAGATCGGATAAACTTTTAATATTACGATTTTTGTATGTTATATCCTCGTATTTCCATAGCCGCGGGCTTGTCTTTGCGTTCAACTCTGCTACTAACCTCGTCGCAAATCTGACAGCGTCTGAATAGAATGACTTGCTTATGACGTTTGAGTGAATAAGATTGATCAAGAATGCACGTGCTTCCTCGCTGATGGTAGATTGAAGCGCATCCAACTGCACGAATATCACATGAATCAATAGCGGTAAGTGCACTTTCAGGTCACCACCTGCTTCAATAGCCATGTCAACCATATACATCATAGCCAGTTGACTAGATGAGAAAACGGGCGGCTTGTGATGACCAGGCAATGCATCATCAATAGTAGCACAGAATAATCCAACTTCACTTATTTGACGTCTAAATGAAGAGTCAATAGGGGATTTTACAGATGTATCTTCTCTCTGTTCAGCTGTACTAGAACTCTCTTCCTGCTGAGATGAATTGTCCTTGGTCGTTTGGGACGTCGAATTGTCGTCTTGAGACGGTAACATTGCCGTTGGGGATATTTCTGCCATTAGTGTTTCAATCAAAACCATACATGCTGGAGTTCGACCAAGATATACAAACACTCTTTTGGCGTGAGTAACAAAGTTTGGATTCCTCTTCTCCATGCCTATTGTTATAAAGTAGTTAACTATCGCACATACATTCTTCATGTTCTCACCCGCAACCAATTGCTGCCACAATAACTCGACCTCCTTGACAAATATATCGCCATATTTAACAGTGATATAGAATAGGTTGGATAACACCATGTAGGTTGTTAGATACAATTTACCATCCGTCATAACGAATTCAATGTTTCTTAGCCATGGTAACATGTAACCTAGCATATCTCTTTGAGATTTCTCGCTGACAGATTCAAATAACTTGGCCATCTCAGATAACATTAAATATGTCTCATCCGACGCCATCAATAAGTCTTCGGCTGAAGCATTCTCCGACGCAGTATCATTTGCCGGTGCTTTCTTCCGTCTTTCGTTATCATGCTTACGTGCACATTGAGCTAATCGGCCAGACAAGTCTATTTGAGAGCTTTTGTAAATGGACGGAACTGTGCTTGTTATACCTACTTGGAATTCGTCTACAGACTCGTTATAGAAGGATGTCTGCACGAGTTTGAGAAGTTTCATTGCAGTACGGCGAATTTCCAGATCAGGATCACCTACTTTGAAAAGTGCAAGTGCTAGTACCTTAGAAACGGGTGGGGTTTTACTTGGATCTAATTGGAACAGGGTGTTGGCAACTGTCATAAAATAGCCTTGAGTGCTTTTCAGTTCTGGACGACGCGAATAGCATAGGTTGATTGTTCTCTCTAATACTGCTAGGTTATTAGCATTGTATACTAGCATTCCTTCAAGAGCTCGCCTTGCAATGGGATGAAGTCTGTCTTGGGGATCAGCAAAGACAGTCTCTATCCACTTCAAAAGGTTACTCATTTCTAATCCCCTATTGCGTGATCCACCTCCAGTCTGTGACTCTGCACAAATAACAGGACCTCGACATAATGAAGCCATCGCATTCAAGGCAGCTAGCTCTAATGATTTCCTTTCTGCCTCCATCTGCTGTACGGGTCTGTGATCTGCCTCAAATTGCATCCTTATCCTCGCGTGGTCAGCATTCTTCGTCCCATGTCCACACCATTCTTCAAACATTCGAAATAAGTCGACTCGTAACTTTTCAGATATAATGTCGACTTTCTCCTGTTGTGATGCGTCATAGAGTTTCTCCACTAATCCACACAGGTATGTTCGTAGTCTCCGCCACTCCCAGTCGTTCGTAATTTCTGGTTCCCGCAAAAAAGTAAAAGTATCCTCAACATACGTTTTAGTCATCGTTTGTACCTCTGGATCGTGAATAAATTCTTCTTTTAGGAGAAAGTGAGCCGTCAACTGATAGACATGAGCTAGTTCTGTGCGAAGCCTTTCGTATTTCCTAGATCTCTTATAGGTACCAGTATATCCTCTCTGAACGTTCCTCCTAGACTCTTCGGCAATTTTATCCTGATATTGTTGCATGTCCTCCAAGAGCACTTTATATACGTTTTCATTAATATTACCAAGGGCAGTTACTACTGCATCACGGATAAGTTGTCGTTCAGAAGATAGAAGACGTAATACCATTCTGAATAATACCCGGGCTGATGTAATTCGATCAGGGGGCGTAACGTCTGCTCGTCTGCGGGAAGGTGTCCAAATACGATCTACGTATTCATCGGTCAAAGTAATGGTCGAACAGGCCACTATAAGATATAGTCTCCATTGTCCTATCATTTCATCGGTTGCCGGCGCCACCTTTGGTGGTAAGTGCATTCGAAGTGTGGGAGCCGGGGTACGCGTTACTGGCTCAGCAGCACTAATTATTGCCTGTTGCATGGATACTATTCTGGAACAAACGTTGTTTCTGCATAATGCAACGGTAACCGCAAAGTGATCAAAGCATAGCTTCATAAATTCGGGGAAAACTCTCGTCCATAAAGGTAAATATTCCGCCTCACTACTCTGGACTAATTTCAATAATATATCCTTTGTACCTTCTTCTTTCAACTTGAGCAGTTGAACAGATTCACGAACATGGAGCGCTGCATCATCTTTATCGAATTTGATTAAATCCCTTCCTCCTCGAGTCAGTATGTGAATTATTCGTTTATATTGAATTTTCTTCTCATGTGCATTAGCACTATAACGTAATCTATTATGCTCATTATGCTCGTCATACCCGTGCAAGTTTTCTCCAACCAAAGTGACGTTATCGAGACTCGATTGAGCATTCATTGATTGACCATCAATCCCAACAATGGTACTGTGACGAGAGTATCCCTTCTCACGTGCTACTTTGATTTCCAACTCCAATTCTAATTCAGCTACCACTTGTAATATCCTTACTGCATCCTTCCTGATTATAGGTTCCTGACTGCACAAGAACAGTAATCCATTTGCCTCTGTTTCCTCGATCACAGTCAAAACCGCAGAATCCTCTAAATCGCTAGGTGCTTTAGATACATTGTCAGAACTGGCATTGACATCCTCTTCTTGAACGGATTGATTGTGAGCTTTTAACTGGCGCAACCATACATACAACATATCTAAATATAGTTTTAATATTGCTCTCCCACTGTCCGATCCAGAGCATGCAAGCATTTCCACATACTTGTCTTCTATCTTATACACAAAACGAGATAGTCCCATTATAACATATTCAGCTCCACATTGGGCGGCAATGCGTCGTAGCGCCCGTGCTGCTGCTGCTGCCAGCTCGGGATCAACATGCACAACGTATCGACTTAGCATCTCCACTAAGGTAGGCAATTTAGAAGATGCAGGGAGTAGACGAGGAAGTGAATCGATATATGTGGTCATTAAATCCATGTACACTTGCTTATCCCTCTGATATGCGACGGTCAGTGTCTTGTAGCTGTGTATCATGATTCCATTCTCACCGGGTAATGATATTACTTTTCCATTGGGATTATTAGGCGGAAAATAAGGAGGACGTGAAATTTGATATTTTTCTTCAAGTACAGACATTTTACCAAAAATCTTGTCCAAAATTGACATCATTCGGTACGATAGATCGCAGAAATGTTCGAAATGTGCTTTTAGCCCCGCTCTGTTGAATACATCATCTGGCAATAAGTTTGCTGAATATTTTACTCCCGTGGATTCTCTTTTCACATTGACCAAATCAGTCTCCTTAGGAAATGGCGGTCTCCATTCTTGAAGTTCGATCGCTGCCAGAAGAGCCACAAACGAACATATTGCAATTTTCATTCGATCCGGATGTATGCAATCGAGTGATGAATTGGACATCAATGCTTCGTTATTCATTAATTTCATGAGTATGTTTGTCATGCAATAGTCATAATGTTTGACGCCAACAAAATATATGAATTGTACAAGTAAATCGTGATTAATTTCAGGTAAAGCACCACGATTTCGAGGAAATAAAACACGTGAGATATGTTCGATACGCTTATGTGTTGTGCTGAGAGATTCCGGACAGCGGTAAATGAATGTCCATAATAGACGATTTATACAGTTCATAGCCATATTGCGATGCTTATCCTTGTTGAGTAATAACGAGAGAATAACGAATATCAGAATCGTGAGAAAAAAAACGTAATTAAATAAACAGTTTTCTCAACATAAACGTGTACCGATTAATAGATTGAAAAAACAACAACAGATAAATAAACCGTTTACCTTGAATCTCGCTATACAGTGATCTACAATATTCATCCAGTTATGAGAGAAAAAGTCTTTTTGTGATACACAGAGTAAAGTTGTTGCGAGAGGGTATGAGATCTACAGTAAAGGAAATAGTTTGCTTAGTTTATAACGTTGAATGAACCCGGTTCAAATTAGGGCCACAATGGAGATTACTTTGGTGACTAATATTATTCTCTCTCTCGATTCTTCCCAGGATTTAGTATTCTAGTTACCTCTACACGCCGCTTATCTACCAATATCTTGTGCGTTTTCTTCCAAAGCAGCTCGACTGCTCTGACCCAGGCCGGGAAATTCACCTCAGCATCTGCAACCTTTTGACGTACGAAAAGTAAAATTATTAATATGAACAAGTTCCAAGACGAAAGAACGTTTTTGCGTGATGTTGTATACGACTTACGCCTGCAAGCGGTAAGAGTAACTGCACAAACACTTTTGCGTATGCTTGAACGATTCGATCGGCATTTGTCTGTCGGAGAGAGTCTGCCAAGTGTAACAGGAAATCAGCCGTTTCGTCCAAAGCTTCCACAGGATATATCTGATACGACGAATAACATGAATAAATTTCACAGTAAGTATTTGCCCCAAGCAAAAAAAAAAGAAAAGACAATGATCCTAATAGTTTCTAATCAACAATCTTCATTCCGTGGTTATCCGGTCAATGACAATAACTGTAATAATTATTAGTCATAAATCTATGATCTATAGACTTTACGCTTACGTCATTGTCATTCACTTTTTACTATTTGCTCTTCCTTTGTTACCTTTAATTTGAGAAATCGCATTCCATTTATTATATAACATATCCTGGCTTCGTCCCTCAATGGAGCACGAGTCAATTCGCCCAGTTTTACAATAAACCGGTCCGAAACCGTTGCGAATCTAATGTTTGACAGCGCTCCAATTAGTTCTGCAAACAGATCAGAGCTTGCTCTTCTACTTCGTGATCTCATCACATCATCCCTATCCAAGGAAAAAAAATATGATTATTCAGAGTGATAGTAAATTGATGTCTGTAGTATACTATTGTAACTGTTCTTGTCATCAGAGTCGTTAATAGATTATCAGTACTAAATCCGCCACATCATCTCTCTTGAAACTTACGGTTCCATCCGGGATAGTTGAACGAATGCTATTTCTTCCAACCCAGTTCCATGTCCTTCTGGAAGTGCTTCGGGTTGTACTTGATTTACTATTTCGATGAGAGCTCGACATAATATGAACAATGTTGTTTGCTATGAATATAAGAAAGCAAAGTCGGAGATAAATATAAATATTTTGTACAGTTAATCCGCAAATCTGTATCAGAAAAATATGATAATTACAATTTTGCGGTCGTGAAGAATTCTGTCCCGGTGAGTGGACAAGCTGTTGCCACTGTTGACAAGATAAAATAAAAAAAAAATCGACATTCATTTGTGAGTCGGGATAATTGTTTCCGCTTTTATGCACGTCTTTTTGCTCTCGTAAACCCCTCTCCCTATCATTCTATCAATCTCATTCTTTAATCAGTCTTCACCAACTTGCTTTCGTATTTTCATCATTCTCATTCTCTAACTACTCACTCAGCCTGCATATTATCCTTCCGCCATTGCATAAAAGAGTCCATGATATGTGTAGGTTTGTGTCTGGCAATATAACCCAACGAATTCAGTAACTTATCGAATGCCGGATCTACACCTGGACCAACAATCCCGGACAAGTCTGGGTCATGATCCTGCAAAGAATTCAAGAGTTTGTTAGTTACAACATTAAAGAAAATATACAGAAAATGTTGGAAAAACGTTTGAAAAGCATGTCAGAGTAAAGAGCAAACTTTAGGAATAACAAATTTGCATAGAAAGAAAAGAAAAAAACAGGGGGAAAAAAGAAAGGATAAGCATGACATGAGAGCATGCTTTGGGAATGTCAACTAGGAACGAGCAAAGAGAAAATTTTCGTTTTATTAACATATGAATGTTTGGATCCAGGAAACGTATAAAGTGTAATCGTGGTAAGAAAAACTAAGGAACAAATTCCGTGTACAGCATGTTTGTAATCTTGAGCAATTTTTCTCATAAAACCTTTTGCTTTCATCAAGGATTTCCCTCTCCCAACCTCAGTCCTAGCAATCTAACGAATTCCTGCTCGTACGTGCAATCTCACACTCTCACGATTGCTTTCAAATCTGGCTAGCATAACCCCAACTTTTCTCTCGATTTGCAATCACTCTGGTTCGTTTGCTTTTCTACAGTCTATCTCTCACGTCCAAGACAAGCACGTACCAGGGTATAACCCATAATATTACTCAACTTCCTCTCGGCGGTTACCGTGAAATGTGTGAATAGTATGTGAAATGCATAGTCGGCGGGAGTCTTTGGATCGAGTGCCATAGAGAGTCTATTCACTACTAGTTCATGAAGTATCTATGATAAGAATTATAGTTATCTCTAAATAAATGGGATCGTCTGGACTTGGACTTGTTGAATTTTGAAAACTTTAGATGATACCATGTGTAGAAACGATTGGTTGTTTGTGCTGCACATGTGTTCATTTCATACACAAATGAGTGACAAAACATTAAAGAAAGGTTCTGGCCATGAATGGCCTTGAATCTTCAATGCCACCATACCAAAACAAGCAATTTCTGCTAGGTTCTGTTCTGAGATTCAAAAACCATGTTCCATCTCCATTTATTGACATTTCGGACATTGTAAATAGGGAATTTATTTCTCTGACAAAATTACTATGCCGTTGACTAAATAAATCCCAGTGGAGCAAAGAAAATAAAAGTCATTATCATTGGGGTCCAAAAGGTTTAAGGACCAGAACCTTGATTCGTGTGTGCGGTTTAATAACGTAAGAAGACGGGATGAGAAATGTTTCCGTAATGATATAATCAAATTTGCTCGAGTCACAACATGCTTGCAAAAATTCTAATCTTGCGACTAACTTTTTTTCCCTTTTGCCAGAACTAGATTACAAATTAGTTTTTGTATCCCGTGATGTGTGATAGTACATAAGGTTCATAATAAAACCACACGCTTATTTTGGATAGTGCAACGATTTATACAGGCAATTCAGATCGAAGACCCTGAGGAGAATTGAGAATTGTGGCTTTCAAAAGTTGAAAACCCACAGCCGCTACTCTAACGATGGGCATTGCGCATATTCCAGTAACGCATTCATGCATTGAGAAATTAACTCGGTGAAACACATAAAAATTGCTGAATTGGAGACATTCAAGATTTTTATATAAAGCCATGAAGGAAAAAAAACCTCGCATAAAGTAAAAATTATTCCATCGACAATCTATAGTCTTACTGTGGGTAAAATAAACTTCAACCACGTTTACTTAGTAAAAGTAAACGCCTGATGCGTATTCGTGTCTTTCTAGTATGACTATAATTATTATGTACACACACATATTTATTGTTTGCATACGTTCTTAATAATGAACACTCGCACAAAAACGCCAACAATGCTTTGGTATACAGTGTGCCACAAGGTTCGCTGGACGAATTGAAAATCTCACAGCTCGGTCAATTTAAACCCCAAACAAGTTTCCATAATTTTCGCTTGCAAATGAATAAAGTTTCAACATAAAAACCACGCAGAACCAATTGTTTGGATGTTTATGGGAGAAAATTGAGTTGTTGGAAAGTCGACGTAGAACAGCAATATCATAACGTTGACATTCTATTGCAACCCTAACAAACTCACCCAGAAATATTACGGTCAACGTTTTTCATGGACGAATTAGTGTCAAGTTCGTAAGCATGATAAACATACATTTTTGATTATATTTTACTACTATGGACAACGAACGTATCGTGATATTAATACACAATAAACTATCCGGAATTTTTGATGATACAAACTTTGTCACTATTGCTTTGTATCGGTTTTACTTTGGTATTGTTTCTATACCGTAGTAACAGGGAGCAATTCTATCTAACAAACCTGTTGGCTTCGTGTTAGTATTAGTATAGTAAATACCCGTTAGGTTTATTATTGGCTTTGTTCTAACTGACACTTGCTGTAGTGATTTTATATTTGCGAGTTTGCTATCCGTAAGGCTGTTCAAATTAAAGTACGGTATATTATTCGCTCTTTATCACGATAGTACAGTATTGTCTCGAAAGTGTAATAACGATGGTAACACAACTTTGAATATAACGCCATTACATCCCAACTACCTGCGACTAATCTTGTCACAGAAGGCTCTTCAAATATCAATGTTGTAAACTCGTCTTGCAGTTGACGTAATCATGTCGTTTAGTCAAAGATTGTATTTTACTCGTTAGCGAATAAAATGACGTTTATTAACCATAGTACTGTAGTAATTGTCTTACCAGCAGGTCTATGTTCTGATCAATACAAATTTACTCCTTAAGCTTTTATACGACGGTGGCGTCAATACTCTCAAACGCTAAATTGTCTGTATATCTTTTTGGGTTGTCACTGTTTTCAGTACTCATATTTGTCATGTGATAATCCGGTTGATAATCTTTCTCAAGTCATGTGATGTGTCAATTGTTAGATTGCTAATTATCATTAAGAACATTAACATAAAATTGTCTAAGGTTCAATGGATAAATTAAAAGACAAGATATTAATATATAGGAGAACAATGACGTCAGTGATGTTTACATACCTGAGTCGATTACATACAGTTGCTCTATTTCAAGGTACGAAAAATAATATCATGTTCGTCACGCTTTTACCTCACAAATATTGTCAAAATATAATTCAAAATGAAAATTACTCAGCAGCAAGGATTCACATACCGGGTCTTTCTAACAAATAAATGTTTATTGTTGCCTCTTAAACACATGTGAAAATATAATTTTACTGGAGGTTTTTGATAAACGGCTGTCGTCTTGTTCTGTTTATTTGACAAATTTGGCAATCCGTTCCTGCTCCGATAGTTTTGACTTTGCAGATCGCAAACTTAGTCAAAGCTATTGGTCTGGAGACAACTTTACAGTACTATTGTATTTCACAGAATTTATCGTTACGGCATCAATTAGATGAGAGGATCATTCGGTTCTTGATGGTAGAATGTTTGATATTACTGATGTTTTCCTTGAGTGACGCAGCAACTATTTACAAAGTATGATTATTGACGCAAAACTATTGCGATACAAATAATTGAAACGTTTGTTTCAGAGATTGTGATAATCATTAAATATGAGGATGCAAAAATTATTTCGTCTAGTTCAAGTTTCTTAGACATGAATAAGCACGGGAAACTCAGCTATCGGATCCAAGCTTGCTATTTTACATGACTTCTTTCGTTCACATTTGTCTATTTTATCGTCTATCTAACTACTATAAATGAGCATGCATACTCTTTCTATTCGATCGTTAATTATTCTCTCAACGAATATACCACATGATAATCTGCAAGTACTCGGGTTACCAAAAATGCATATTTATTAGGATAATAGTAATGCCTACAAAGTATAAATAAAAGCTTAGGGACTCTTATTGTATACACACCCATGCCGAACACTTTATGTTATATATATATATATATATATATATATATATCATTCCTTTGTGACTGCCGGGTGTTTTAATAAACGTGATTTGTTCGTTCTTTGACAGAGACTCAGCAATAAAAAAAGAAACATTCTATTAAATTATGCCCCCCGAACGCACGCTGCCCTCAAATCGCAAGATGCGAGAACGTAATAGCGAACATGAAGATAACAACAATGATGATGAACAGGATCTTTCCGATACACATGAATATGGCTTTCCGAGGACTTTGCTCATGTCTACCGACGAAATAGATAGCATACTCGAAGCTGGCGGAAGTGAAGAATATGAAAAAATGTACAAAAGAATGAAGCTGTTGATCAGAATAGGACAACAGGTGGGTTAAGCAATCATCCGAAATGGGAGGTAAGTAGTTACAATGAAAACTATCAAAATTGATAATAATTCGCTTGTAGGAGATGGCCAACATAACAAAGGAGATTAAAAAGTGGAGAAAATTTGAGATTGCTATACTGAAGGAACGCCGGTAAGATATCCGTTGGAATTGATTTGATTTTTTTTTATACGATACACCGCTCAACATGTTTGGTCTTACTCGCTTCAGACTATTGAAAAAGCATCTCGCGGAATTTAATTGATCATAGTACCAGTGACGGTATTATATGGGATTATATGTATATAAATTATAGACAAAAACTTCATATATGCGTACTAAGGATCATGACTAGACAGTAAGAATGTGTATATAATAACAATGAATGATATTACCAACAAATACGTAATTGACAAAATAAGCTGCTAACTATCGACCCAATCAAAATAATAATGAAGAATATTTTTGATGCAATTATCTACTTTTTGCCTCTTTCTTTACAGTTCCAAATACTGGGGAGTAATTAAAAGGGTTTATTGTCTGATCGCAGAATTTCAGTAAAAATCACATTGTTTGGCATATGATTGACAGGGGAAGTGGCACAGCAATAGTATGCGTGCGATTATCATTTTTACTGTATTTGAATTTCATAAGTCCGATTGTCAAGGAACGTGCATCCTTGTGATTTCAACTAATAGGCTAAATGTGTTCAAGTTGCGACAATTCGGTATATCATCGTTGTCTCGTTAGATAAAAATGTTGGTTGTTCATTAATTGGCTGTCATTCTTAAAGCTAATTCGTACAATAATGTATTATTTATTGTCATTAATGAGTTTATGATGATAATTGTCGAAATTATTGGTGAAACAAAAAGCAAATTTCAAAGAAATGCTTTATTACCATAACAATGTTAGGTCAAGACGTCCTTATCTTGCAGAAAAAGGAATTGGAGTCTTGCCTCTTTAGTCAAATGAAATGAGATCGCTTCGAGTGTACGTGCTTGTGCAGGCTGGTGAAACGTTGAATGAGAGACAGTAATGGAAAAGGTTACTAATCTATAATATTGTATGCCATTGTCTCCCTTATTGTAATCTTAAAAGTGATATCGATATTATGCAATTTTCTGGTCTCTTCGATCAGCACGTGCGTAAATGTGACGGTTCCAAGCATGTTGATTATCCAGTCGTATGGCGCGGCGCAACCCGAATATCGTAAAGCAAAAAATGTATGTTCAAAAATTGCCATTAACCCAATTATTAGCTATCAAACAATTATTACGTATATAATCATTACAAGCATTCTTTGAAATTGAGGAAATTGCGCGGTCAACCATCGCGATCCACTCTCCTTCGTTGACATGCGCCATTTTGAAATAATATCCACTAATCGTATACCCGTTTCCTTTGCATTAATTAGCACACGAATTTCTATAATAAAGGTTTTCCTATTACGAACAAGTTCTCAATACTTGTTTAACAAAGTTGTTTGTAATAACAAGTTGGACATTAAATCATTACATAAATCCGTTATCAACAGTAATAATTGATGGTTCTGCATTCGAAACTATTATTTAAATATTTAAATTACGGTATTAATAAAGAAATTAGTCATAAAAAAAATGATAATACAAACCTGAATCTTAGTATCAGACATGTTAGCTCGCTTTCGGTGGTATCGGAAAATGGACTACTTGCCAAAGCCAGTTTTTTTAACCAAAAGTTTGGTCTTGAAGAAACAGGGAAATCAAAAGTCGGCTTCAACAAATTATCCTTGAGATTAATTTTTCTAATTAATCAACAGCAAAAATGAGACCGAGAAAATTTTCAACCAGTATGACTTAAAGAACATTTAGCTCGAAAGCAATTTTATCAGCAAAATAACTTACCTGTTGAGTTAAATATAATACTTGAAGAAATAGTAGCTAATGATTATACCATGTCTTGTCAACAGACAAATAACAAAAATTAATTAACTACGAAAAGAAGAAACGAAAACAAAATTTTGGTCAATTTCAAGATTATACTAAAGACCTTGATGAATAAAAAGAACCAACATTCAAGAAGCTTTAAACGCAGAAATATCTGGTATTCACGAGTTAGCAAGGCAACAAAGAAATTTTTACTTAAAAACCCCAAAGAATACTAAGCAAATATTTAGAAACTAAACCTTTACCAAATGTTGCGGTCGGCAGTCTGGGTTGTGGAAGAACGATTATCTTTCGCGTAAGCGTGTTTGCCGACAGAGGGATATTCTAATTTAGCTTCAGCTCACCGCCATTTTGCTTTTACGACTGAATCTAGAACTACAAGTAAACTAATTCAATTAGTTAACGCGCGCGCTTCTTCACTTTTTATACGACGTACCCATAATATAATAATAATGTAATGACAATAATTATACCACAGAATCGAACAGGAATTAATTATTCTAAATTAAACAGGCAATCTCCGATTTGATCTGTCGACTAGTCGAGTAAACGTCAATGGCCTATTTAAACAGCTTAAATGAGTTGTTTATATATCGGTTGTTACAGCTTACGTGAGCTGTTATGCCAAAACCTTACAGTTTTTATGTGAGCCTGTAAATCCGATTAACTAAACCAACGACAAAAGGAAGATTTCAGTAATAAAAGATGTTTCAACGCATTTATTGTTATCACAAATGAGTACTTCGACGATGGGGTATGAACTACTTATACACTTTTTCCGACACGGAAATTCTGTCCCGAAAAATAATTAAAGAACGAATAAAATTCCAAGTTAATTATATTCTAAACTTATCGTCGTTTTCGAGGCCCGCAAGAAAATTACGATAGACCGATCTGTAACTCGCCTCAGCTGGTAAAAGTGTAAGAATGAGCAATGCGATTGACATTTCTTGGTAATTAGCATAGTTTTCGAGAAAATTCTTCACGGTGGTAGCAACGTTATATCAATAGTTATTTTGGTTTTTCATCGTGGCATTCGCTTTATGTTACCATAAACACGCAGTATCATTACCAAGTGGTTTCTGACGTTTTCGAGGTGCGTGTGACCGATTCCTAACATATTGAAATACGTTTTCTGATAAAGTGGCTCTCAATAATAAAACATGTTTTCATTAGCAAGCGTTTTCTTTTTAAGACGTCAGCCGGTAATTATTTCTCCTTCGTTGTTTTCAGTTGAGCCATTAAAAATATATCTTGTTCAGATCTAGGAAGGGCTTGAAACGCCGCACATAATCCGACAAACTTTTCTCTTAGTATCGTTTTCGAATAATCACAATTACAACCGAACTCCAAAGAGTGTATTAACTTGTCATATTCAGTCGAACCATTGTATTCACTATTTTTCATATATTACTATGGAAGATGGGTTGTCACAAAAAATGTCTATTCACGAATTCTTTGGTTAGTTGAGATTTTCTGTTGTAAACTTTTGCCTGGGAGTCGTTCGTAAACGACTCGCATTATAAGACACCGTAGTTTGCCATCACGTCTGCGCACACGTACGTACAGAATTAGCGTTACGCTGAGAATTATCCCGTTCATTAGGGATAATAGTTGTTCCTGACAAAATTTTTTTTGAATGAGCATAATAATAACGTGTTCATCCAATTAGTCCAACAAAAAAAACTTTGCATCATTATTATTCGAAATTTATCATTCCAACAAATATCACACCGTAAAATCGATAGTTTTTATGGTGAGAGAGGATGATTTTTAATCACATGATGTAAAGGTGGAAAGGATGACTATAGAGGTATGATTTATGAATATGCTAGAAATTAGTCAAAAGAAATTTCACAAAATTGATTACATAAATTATGTAGACTTTATATTTACATAATTACTTAAGACAAGCACTACTATTAATACAATGCAACTATTACTAGAAATAACAACGATTAATTAATTACTCTATTCATCGCTTCTTCCATCACAATCATTGGTGTCTTCAACGTAGTCTCCTTCACCAACTTCATTAATCTTCACCGATAATAAACTCCTGACCGATACTACTATTAGGATCATCGATCGGTGACTCTGCAACAACAATACTGTATTTTGTCTCGCCTTCCTTATAATCATCTTCCTTATAATCATCTTCGTGGGTAACGTCCGGCAGAGTCTTTGAAATAGAATGCTCGGAAATTTTGCGAAGACTAGCAGCAGCAGCACTATTCGTTGCATTTGTTGTTGGCCGAGTGGTTGGTGATGCAAGTTTATCATTGAACGTGTGCACGGTCTCATATGTTTTACGGCGCGCATTTCGAAGCCTTGAGGGTGAATAAACAAAGAGTCAAACACAAGCAGGTAATTGAGAATGGCGGGTAAAAAGAGTGTGTTGAGGGGAACGCTTTAGATTACTTAAGCATTCATAAACCGACTATAATAATTAACTTATATTGATATCCTCGATCGATCAAATTACTTACGCCTCAGAATGGGCTAGATTAGAGATCCCTTTACTCAAATTTCCCCATGCTTTAGCGGTAAGATCATATGTCTTTTGTCGTGTCTGCTTGAATCTGGCAAGAGAAAAAAAGTATTAAATCACGTAAATCTAATAATAACACAAAATACACGCATTAAACCATCCCCTCGCGAAAATTCTAATACCGCTCAGAGTCCTTTACTTCTATGACAACCGAGCGTATATTAGATAACGTTTCGCGTCCCCTAAAGAAATTCCGCAAATCAGTTACTCTTAGGGAAAACGAGTAATCTTGTGTCCCAGCCTTTTAAAACAAATATGCATCATATCACCGGAAACAACGCCCAAAAGTCTATAATTTTATTTCCAACTTCAACCTCACAGCTCTCCTCATCTCATACCCCCCTCTTCCCCACCATTTCCCTCCCCCTTCTACCTTTCTGTCTCGGCACTGCCTCCAAATATCCCCTTGAACCCATTTCCGACTCCGTTTCCTAAACCGAACGCAATGGCCCTTCTCCCTCTGCCAATATCGTCTCTGCGTTCCTTCTCATTATCTCTCTTCCTTCCGTAATCCTCATCCTCATCACCAGATACATCAGACCCAAGCGAGAACATATCATCGATATCAGAAGAAGCTTTATTCTCGATATCATTCTCTTCCAGCGTTATAGTTTCCCATTGCTCCTTTAGAAGGTTTAATTCTTCTTCTTGACGAGCAAGCTCTTCCTTGAGTTCGAGAATTCGGCGTTCTTTACGGGCGATAAATTGAAGGAGTTCTTCTTGTTGTTCGACTCTTGTTGCTGGTGTTACGCGTAAGTGCTTTATCGCTAATTCCGTGTGAACCTAAGATTAGAAAGAGCGAGGGAAGGTATGTAAAGATAGATGTAAAGGGATTGAATTCAAAACTCATTGTCAGTGCATCTTATGCAACGTGTACTTTAGTCAAGCTGACTCAGTGCAGTACGAAAAAGTTGTCCCGGTGCAGCTTGCAATAATTGAACAACCCGTGCAAACATGAAATTTGCTCTATTCGTTTTTACTAACCTTGATCTCGTCGTCCTCATTTTCTGTAGTCTTCCCAATAGTCTCAATGCTTTCATTGGTCTTTTCTTCTATATCTGTCTCTATCGTTTCCTGTAACATTTTCCTATCTCCTCGTAAATGCTCTGCTACAATCAGAGAAGTAATGTGAAAGGGAGACCATTTTAGGCAATCGAGCAGTTGAACAAACTATTGTGCGACTATGTTAAATACTTATCTATTTTCCGAATCACATGATTAACGAGGCACACAATAGCGATAAGGTATAATAATAACTGATAAGGTTCGATGACTTTCATGCAAGCGCGCAAACTTTTGACCTGATGTTTAAAATTTCTCAATATTTATCAAACCGACAAGAGCTTTCTACGTCTGTCAAGACTTGGGCAAACTGACAATTCATGTGACACTAGTTAAGGAAATGCTGTGAAAACGAAATTGACTATTGATAGACCCGTCGTTAAAATCATGCTGAATTCAAGTTCCCGGTAAGAACATTAAATGAATGAACTTCACTTTTTAATTCGCAATGTGTTTGGTAAGATGCATTCGCAAGTTGTGGATCAGTGCTATGTTTGTCTTAAAATCTAGAACCGTCTAATACAAAGTTGGAAAGAAAGCGAGAAATTGGCTAGGCGAGCATTTTTACAGGGTAAGTTGTAAAGTACATTACTATGCATTACGGTATATTATGTTCTGCATTTTTCGAATATTCAGTATGCCAACAAGCTAATTACGTTCTTGGTGATAAGAATTTGGATAAAGGCGAATATATTAAATTTGCCTGTGATAATGCGGGTATCTATATTTTGCCGTCTACGGAGCATTGAGTTATATAACATAAATTTATGCTATATAGTAAATTCAGCCAAAACTAATGTTGTACTTGAAATCATAGCATAAGCATTCTTTCCTTTTTGTTCTTAGTTTTGTGGGTAAGAAAGCTCATGGCTATGAGACGGACAAGGCTTTCAATACTTAATATTTCGAAGCAGCTAGTCGAGAGAATTGTCAATCGCAAACAGTAGCTAGTGAGTTTTTTCACGAGAACGTCACATCTTTGTTCATTTAATATTAATACCAACTCCATTACTCCTTGGCAGGAATAATAATTCGCTTGTACCGAAACAATAAAACAAGTCAAAATCGCGTTTCTTCGTTTTCTACATTAATATCATATTCAGAAAGAACGATTAACAAGAAATGAACATTTTAAGAAAAGGAAAACAAACAAGTAGCGTTAGTGAATTAAGGAAAACGAAAATGCTCACAATGAGGAGAAAGATTCTGTTATAGGATATTGTATACAATAATTAAGGAGAAAGAACCCTATTAATTATAGTCTCAAATTTTGCAACCGTAGCTGAAATTCTGGTATTTCGAAAACGTCATACTCAATGATCACTTTTATTTATGAAGGCAACATAACTGACTTTCACGACTTATTCGGTGAGTTGAAACGTGGGATGAAAGACAGACTTTTAATACAGGATAAACCCAAATCTTTATGCGATGGTTCTAGGAATACTAAATTATATACTAGTTAATATGTTGATTCCCAAGATTAATTATTGCCATCGACGAAATGTACAGTACTATATCATGTACTGTACAATACCCAGTGTATGAATGTTTGCACGTCTTCTTAATGTAACAAATTTTACTATAAAAGTATATGAGGCCGTTGTCTGAAAACGTGTACTACATAATGCAAAAAGAGGGGCAAGTATTATTCGTACAATGACATAAACATTAGATGCATGAGGTTCTAGAACGTCGATTTCCCATGATGATAAGCAATATATAAACGAGCACCATATCATTATCAGAATGCCTCTGCAAAAGTAAAACGACACCTTCTTTCTAGACTTGCGTGTGTGCTAAGAAGGCAGAAAGCAAAGGTAGACTTTTTTCCGTTCAACACAAGCTGAACAGACAACGCAGACACCTGTAATGAGGAAATAATCGGAATGCTGATACGCCCACAGCAACGGGTGTGTCGAGTCACTATAGCAAAGCAAAAGATATATACCATATATTAATATCGTTTGCAGTTGTTTGCGTCAAGTTGATGCTAATGCGAGATTCTTCCTGTAAGTAAAATGAAAATTATTTTAATATATGCGATGATGTAATTTTTGAAAACAAAATTATATTATTATTTGTGTCTCATCCATGTATTCATTCGGTGACAAGCAAGCTACTTTAGTACTTTTTGTTTCGAAACCTATTGACGCTAATACGTGGATCTTTCTCCTATTCATCATAATTCACAGCGTCGAACGTTTGAATTATCCGCTTTGTGACACCCTGAACCTCGAATTATTATCTCACGTCAAACATTTCAAGTTGGTATTTGGTCATATGTATAAATTAAAAATTTTTAAAAGAAAGAAGACATAACTTTGTATGCATTCTAATAATCTTTTTTTTATATAGTTCTTATAACATACTTTTGGCATAGATTAAAGTTGCATGTTACACTATCAAACTTAAACGGATGATGATTAACTGAAAAAAGTATAACTAATGCAAGCGTCTTATTGAAAGTAAGTCTTAAAATTTCTAAATTACCCACATCCTATTTGTCGATTAACTTTTTGATATCTTTTTGCGAAAAGAAGAAGAAGAAGAAGAAGAACATTCGATTACTAAACAAAAGCTTATGAAAATAATAAATTTCTACGTATAATTAAATAGGTGTCATATCAAACGAAATCTCTTAATTAACGGTGGATTATATATCCTTCTCGACCATACAACAAACGATCGAATGTCACTCAACACACATACGAACGGAACGGCAATTTCACGTTGTATATGATCGCCGTCCCCTCATCCTTAATGCGAGTGATATTACAATCTGAAAATTCATAAAAGAGCATAGATCGCTGCCAACTACCAACGTACAACGTCATCACACATAATTTCTTACATGATATTCTAAAATTTTTCAAATCGCCGGCATCTATATTGCAAATCTTCATCTGGATATATCTGATATTAGGACAGTATTGACTGATCAGACCAACTGATGGCCAAAATCTCTGTGAGAACTCGGATTCAACCCCGTCACTGACAATCCTCTCGATGCTACCATTGGTATTTTTAACAATCGTATCTAGGATACCAATATCGATACTTGTCCCAATAACTTTTAATGTACGTAGAGATGTTATTTTTGCATTTGAGAGGGTAGATTTAACCTGATCTGGCACATAGCATCGTTTGAAACATAGTTTTTGCAGATTTCTGCAATCTGCCAGGACACTAAGCGACAGTCTTTCGTTGAAATTGATCGAACAAAACGAGATTTTACTAATGCAAGCTAACTTAGGGAGTTTCGACAATATCGCATCTAGTCTTGTAGGATACCCTTGTATTTTAAGTTTCTGCAGACGGCTCTCTGTCTTATCAAGCAACGGGCATACATCAATACCTCCTGTCGGCGGTGACAGTCTCTGTTTACGGCCTTCGATGATCAGTCTACAGACTTTATTTGCATGTGCACTAACAGTGCTGATATGTCGCAAGATCTTATCACGAGTCATGCACCGTCTCAGAAGCCCGCCCGAGTGAGATAATTCCGATTCAATAGTTAATGTATGGAGATTGGGTGACATCAATTCAATCAAATCTAAGAATGTTCTATCGATGAGATCAACGATAAACTCGTTGCGATCACTTGGTTTCGATACCTTGTTGGTTCTCCTGGAAAACAGTGACTTTTGCTTTGATTGTTCACTGCCGTTGGTCCTTCTACACTCATACCAATATCCTATGGCTCTTTGTATATCATATAGATTCACTTGGGATATATATCCAATATATTGAAACGTCGAATTTGCGTGTCGCATTCTTTGCAAATTGAGCTGCTTTTTCATATGATCACCCAGAAACATGAAGCATACTTCAATGAGCATGGGTACATGCTTTTTCCATTTGCGTGTAACGCTGGGACCTATCAACTCGAATGGTTTGCTCCAGAGTATAGGCACGGTGGCCTCGCACCACAGCCTGTTGACAAGTAAACATGAGTGGAGCGTTCGTCTGTCATCGAGAAGGTGGGAAACCGTTTCCGCAACCAAGTCGAAAGACGAAAGTAAAGAAGACATTGAAAGTTGAATGAGTAGTAATGTGAACTAATCATAAAAGTTCGAATCACCAATCGAATGGCAGTTTTCGTACCATTGATATTTACGTCACACACAAGTTAAAAATGGTTATTAGTCCGAAGAATGTCGACCACAACGATGTTGTGACCGTCAAGGATCGCCAATAAACTTTTCTCGTTTCTGATGTTACGATATCCCAGGGATCTGCTGTCTTCCATTTTCACCCACAACCATATTATAATCCCTTACAGTGTAACCAAGGTGCATGAATGCCTGTGCGGAGTGGAACTATTGAAAGGGGTGCGTTATGTATTTAATTTTTCTTTTGGTTAGACATGTTCTATCCAATATACAAGATTTATCAAATATACTTACGCTAGGTTATTCCGTTCTCAGAATGTTACTACAGCTGTTCAGTCTCAAAAATGCGATTGATAATCAACGGCTGTGTCATGCCTGTTCGAGGCACAGGTATATCCACTTCTGACTCGAGTCTTGAAGTTGATTATAAGGACTGGGAACCCTGTTCATTTGCGCATTTTGGCAAGACATCAAATTGTGCCCGGTCTCCAATTGGTCTCTGGAAGTGCTCTGAACATGAGTTTCGACCCCTTGCTTACTTCAAGTAAAACGTTCCTTGTCAATTCGATGGGTATTTTTTTGGTTCCTTTGCAACGTGGGTATTAAGACCTTGAATTATATTACATGTCATGTTTGTCATCTTATGCAGAAACTAAATTGTTCTTTTACCTTCTCGATATGTCAGTTTCTATGATGCGAGGATCCAAGGACTCGTATCCACACAGAAAGGCTATGATATGAAGAAAGAATGTCTTAGTGACGGGTTGGGTGTAGAGTGACGATGATATCCGATGTTATGACGACGGGAATTGGAGCACCAGAAGACGACGTCAATGGGGAGGTGGTTGTGAAACTTACGATAGTTGTATTAGTATATGGTTATTCCATATTATAATGTCTAATAATTAGGTTACAGACTTTTGACATTTGATTAACAGAAAGCTCAAAGCCTGAAAACAAACGATTAGACACTGCTCAATCAAAGTAATACAAATATTTCTCTTTATATCAAGGTCCAAATAAAAATATCCTGCATTATTTTCAGAATGTATGCCATTATTGTATCAACTTGCAAAAATGTATACTGCAACAAAAGTGAACATTGAGTAGGGACTGCCATTTTAAGTCACACGTCATGAACTTTCTATTCAATATTCACAAATATCTATACCTGAATTTCGCCTACGTTCAGCTCCACCAGATGACAAAAAGCTTGATCTCCGATGGTTGTTAGCACATACAATTGAGGTGAATATTAATATACAAAGCTTTGTTGATATTGAGCAATACTTTACTAAATGCTTTCATTCTATGCAGAACTTGTCCAGTCAGAATCTCTATGATCCCAAGTCCTTGAATTCCAATGGAAACCCATCAGAATACTCATTTCAATCTGAATTTGCAACCATTCTCAGGCATTTGTTCCAATTGGCATATCCACTATTGGGATACAAAACTATAGTGGAGGTTAAGGAATATGATGAAAAAGGTAAACGTACTCAACGATTACATATTCTTATTTGCAATGGCTCACCTTACCTTCACATGGCTTTGAGCTTGTGGTTGCAGCAAGTGAAAGTAACTTTAAGCACCACTGTGAAAGACTGTTGATTATGGCAAGCTCCATGGTTGTCAGCACATGTTCATGGTCAATCTTTGTCCTCAAGTCACATTAAGTGAATATTTTGGAGATGGAGATTATGGGGGTATGCTGCAACAAAACCAGACAAAGTGAACATTTATAAATGAGAGGCTGATTATGATGTGACTGTAAAATTGTCCAGTGTGACTGATGACATTTTGAAAAGTAATAATGTGCTCATGGACTTGTTAATTTTAATACTCACTTTATCATACCAGAATGTGATGAATATAAACCATAACAGGATTAATAGGGTTACCTCTATATTATAGTTTCATTGTTTTACTGAAAACATGAATGGGGAGCTTTACCAGAAAATTTTAATGGAAAATCTTTTCTCTAATGCTTCAAACCTATTGGGAAATCATGGATTTTCCAACAAGACAACGACCCCAAGCACACTGCCAGGTTAACAAAGGAACTTCTGAAAGAAAAATGTCCAAAAGTTCTTGATTGGCCCTCTTACTCACCCGACTTAAACCCTATAGAAAACTTATGGGCAATAATGAAGAAAAGGGTAGAAAAGAGGGTAAATCAACGTATTCTACAAAAAAAATCAATTGGATTAGATAATTTTTTACAGATTATTCGACTAGAATGGGATAGCATCGATAAATCTATTCTATCGAATTTATGTTCTGGAATGAAAACGCGTTTAGAAACTGTTATTAAAAAAGGGGGTTTAACAATCGACCACTAGATTTTTATTTTTATAAATTCACATTATTACTCATGTGCAGACCAAATTTTATGTAAAATGAATACAAATTGGTTGAGAAACAAAAAATTTAAAATTCTCATTATTTTCCGCCACTACTGTAGAATCACTGTCCATATGAGATCATCAACACTTCCACACAGTGACTCTTCTGTACCACAGGGACGGTGGGCCAAGGTATTCTCTTCTAAACAACATGAAAGAATAAGAAGGCTACATTTGTGGGCCAATAACAATCATTGAGGGTTAAGCTGTGCCTACCAATTAGTGTTCCTGCCACCGCATACAAACTGTAAGCAGACACTTCATCTAAACTCACAGTCTCTTCAAGAAACTCCAGCTCTTTGTAGATGGATGGGTGAACTGGTATTCTGTCACGAAGTTTCAATGAGAGGACTGTTTTCAATGTTCCAATATTAGGCATGGAAGGGACTGTTTTCAATGTTCCAATATTAGGCATGGAAGGCAGCTTTTCAATCAGACGACAGTTGACTGATCAATACAAAACACGCTTTAATAGAGGCCCCTCTGTGATTTATGGAAGAAGGGAACAAGTGCAAGTTAAAGTAAATAAATAATAACACGCTCGTGACGAGAAAGCCGTTAATCGGGTACAATCCGAAGTAACAGATACTGCCGTGAGCGGCACATCACTTTTGGGGGAGGCAACGATGGCGTAAGTTGATGAATGCACGGAAAGACAACGATCTATATCGAGCACCTGCTAAACAACTATCTATTGGTAGAAAGTATCCCAACAAACTCGCAATACCATATTACTACGTACACACTACTCTATGTCTCCAACGCCCGAGTCACAAAGTTTCTGGTTTTAGGATGTCCTTCAGACATTGGATCTTTTCATCGTCGTTGCCACAGGTCGGCAGAACATCGGCTGCTTCAGCTTTCTGAGCAGGGTTCTTGATGAAATGCGCACGCAAGGCCGCCTTTTCATCGTTAGTGAGAGCAAGGCGCGAAATTTCCGAGTAGAGTTCCATAGTAATAGTAATAGTAATAGAGACAAGGTGTTCGGTTCCCCTGCATGTAGAATGTGACCAATGATAATCAATGCGCAGAAATTCGTAGTGTATGATGAACAAACGAATATTTTATTATAAAAACAGCACCGGTTAACTTAACTTACTTCAAAAATCAACCACAACACAATAAATATCGTTGAAACAATACATCTTAAAAAAAATCTGTCAACAACACTACGAAAAATGCTTACATTCACAAGCGAATTCTTTTTTGGAGTATTTATTGGCTTCGTTCTCGGCCTGTTGCTAAATGGCATAATTTATAATAGCCAACTCCACAACATGGGAATGTTAACAAAGACTATGAAGTCCAGAAAGTTGTCAAAAACGAAACAATCGGCGAACAAAATTTATTC